AGGTGGAGGAGGGAGGGGCGGTTTTCTGCGATAGGAAATATCCCGTGAGGCTGGCTGACCCGAAGGTGAGAGATGGGTGGTTGCGTTTTGCGAAAAACAAGTAGGCTGAGAGCAAGAAAGTTTCTGCTTCATCAGGAGGACGAGGGTTCATGGCCAGGTGAGCCAACAATCGGTTCTATCGGTTCTATCGTTTCCCAAAGAGGTGGGCATGAGAAACCACCAGCACACATAAGCCGCCTGCCTTGTCATCAGCCCCCTTCTTCCTGCGCCTTTCTTGCTCACGGTGTGGTCCGGTCAGCCCGGTCTGATGCAGACCACATCTTCAATGGTCCAAGTTGGGACAGTCCCAGGCCAGAGAGGGGAGCCCATGGGCGTGGAACGGCTGGATGTGGACGTGAGTGTGGTAAGAGTCTACGCTGAGCGTCTACTGTGTGTACTTTTTGCCCCTACATAGGCCTGGGTGGCGAGGAGCAGAAGGAGATGGAAGAGGAGGCGGACGCAGAGGGAAATGACCCTTACCCTACCTGGCTTGGGAGGCAAGATGGGCTGTTGAACGTTTGGCGTCGAGTGAGTGAGTGACTGACTGGTCGACGATGGCTGCGCACTTGAAGTGGAGGGGTCGCAACCACCACATACAAGACCGGTGCAGAAGTGTGGGAGGCAAGCCCGACGCGAGGGTGTCTGTAAGGTCTAGCCTCCCCTCCCCTCCTCGCCCTCCCCTCCTCGCCCTCCTCGCCCTCCTCCCTACCCAGAAATGGGACGACAGTGGTGTCGATGGTTGGAGTTCGATGATGGTGGCCGGGAATCTGCACACTCGTGCATCCCATCACAGATGCGTGCCTCTCCTTTGGGACAGAGCGCGGGAGGAGGAAGGGGGAACAGGCCACATGGCGCCGTGGGCAGAATAGCTGGTTCAAGACAAAAGCTGAAGCCTCTTTTGGTGCGGACTTTCTTACTCTCGTCGACCGGCGATGGTGCTTGGTGGCGTTAGACGTGTCATTTCCCTCCTGCTTTTTTTTTTCTTTCGATTTACAGTCTCAGCACTTGGTTGTCTGCATATCGGCGTGGTTTGGAAGCAAGGGGTGAGGTGGAATGGGTCGATGGGAGACTTGGAGGAGTGAGGATGGTCTCGTTCATGCTTCTTTTCTTCCTTTCCTTGTTATTGTACGCTACTGAGAGAGAGAGAGAGAGAGAGAGAGCATGCTTGGCCTGTCGCCACGAGAGGAGAAAACACGCCCACGCAGGAAGAAGAAGAAAGCTGAGACTTACGAGGCCAACGGCGTCGAAGCGACCCTGCGGCGCGTGGGTTCGCGTTCCAGACGGGACACCACCCAACGGCGTCTTAATGCCTTGGCCGTTTGAAAAGAATGGGCAGAATATACCTCTATAGCAGAAGCGAAATGCAACACATGCCACTTGTTAAGTTGTAGATGCTTAGCTTCACACCAGCAGTCGATCAAGGTAGTTTACGTAACATGCGCAGCCGACAAGGCGAAAGAGACGGGATGTAGAGGATGACCGGCGAGATGGTGTCGACTATCACGATGTTTCCGAGACACTGCAAAGCCCTTCTCCATTTCAGAGGCATAGTCTTCGAAACAGGCGCAGCTGATTAGACCTAGGCTGTTGAGACGGAACCAAAAGGCACGTACTCCTTTTTCGCCCGCTACGACCCTACGATCCTACTACTCCAACCTCACTTTCAAGTTTCATTTCGTCGCCGGGGCAGGCAAATGCAGGTCAGTCAACTCTTGCGTAACTCCAAGAATTTTGAGATAGTATACTACGTAGACGTATAGCACGACCACCGGCAGGCTAAAAACTAATGATGAAGTAGCCAATGATTGGATACTCGCCAGTGTTGTCAGTTCTAGGCCACTCTGCAACCCTCCCTCCCCCTCCTCCTCCAAGTTGACAGCCTTCGGAGGGCGCCGCCAGGATATCACGGACCAACTGCGATGCGAGGGTTACGAGACTCCCGAGCTCTCACCAAATCCATCATGGCCTTTTGCCTGCCTGCCCAGAAACAGTCAGGACTTGCGGGTGCCATTCGTGTAACACCAAATCCGAACCCCCTCTCGCCCAAGCATGTTAAGCAGTGAGTGAGGGTCCTGAGGGAATGGTCAACCTCGCCCCTCATTACAGACTCGACGTTTCGAGTAACGTGAAAATGACATAGATAACAGAGGTATCAAACTGACGAGAATGGCTCAAGCCCATGCATGAAAGAGTTCCACAATGCCAAAGATATCAAAAGTGTTCTATCAGCAAGTCCCGTCGCAGACCGAGACAAGTTTGTTTACTGCCCGCAAGAGTCCCCACACAAAACGCAACGCCCGCCCGCCCGCTCGCCCGCTCGCTCGCCGCCGCGACACCCCGCAACTTTTGTCAGTTATCACGGCCGTTGCGTCAGATAGTCCTAGCACCAAATTCCTTTCGTTTTCTGCCCAGGCCAGCCAGGCCAGGTCAGGTAAGTAAGCGCTGTCCGAAGCGTCGCAGAGCACCCTCTAACCCTTCCCGCACACCCCCTGGGAATTAAGCAGCAGCCAGGCTAGAACGGCAGTGTCGGTCCTGTCGGATACAATGGTGCCCGGAGACTAGGCGGGGGGGGGGGTTTGCCAAGCCACGCGTCCCTTCCCCAGTCCCCTTTTTGTGCAGGACTCTCAGTCTCTCAGATTCTTGAGAAGTTTAGTACCTAGTTCGAAATACGAAATACTTCTTGCCCATCCCAGAAGACGTGCTCGCTTGCTAATACATCATCATACTTGTAACTTGACTGTCAGCTCGAGGCCTGTAAGAGACCCCCCTTCCCTTACCCCCTTCGACGGGCTATAGAGACGCTAAGCAAGCAGTGGATGCGTGATCGCCTTGTTGCAAGGTGAGCCCCAGGTTCCCAAGGCTCACGAACACATAACGCTTACGAGGTTAGGGGCATGGATGGATTCAGGGAAAAAGGTGCCACAGCCTACAGGCAAGGCAGGCAGGCACCAGCTCTAGACCATGCTCACCATTCAACCAGAAACTGCATTCTTACGGTGCCAATGGCCCTGACATGTTCGGATATGCACGTCGCCCGTTGCGGTCATCGTCTTTCTCTGTGTCTGTCCATGGTGCTTACTACCTGCCTACCTCTTCTCGCTTCCTTCTTGGATAAGCGTTGCATGTATGAACAGGCCAACAAGAGTTGCACCCGTTGCTGCAGCTAACCCCCTGACAGATTGGGGTAAGAGAATGGAACAGGCAAACGGAGGGCACGGGGGTTCGACCTCTTTTTTTGTGGCTTTGGGAAAATTTCAATAGTCGACAGGGACTTGGGATAGTCATAGTGTGGCGTTACGCCCGGAGTGATGCTATTCATGGATCGAAGGGCCTTTGCACTCCTCGTCTGATGTGTCGCTTTTCGTCCGAATATCAGAAAGAACGACTACGGATAGACAAGTTCAATTCGTACAGTCATGCGATGTCGAGGGGAAGAGAGTTGTTATGGCGTCCTCATGCTGTCTAGTTGGAGCAAAGCTCGTTTGGTTAGTGTCCAGATTTGGGCTATAGTAGCTTGCTGGGTTTCTTGGCCATCTCAGCATCGAGGCTAGAGAGGCAGCGGACTGTAAGGACATACTCCATACGAACAAAGGTTTACTATGGATACGGCGTGGAGAAGAGATCCAAGCCTCGAGAATTCAAGCAAGTGGGCAAGCTTGGCTTTGTTGGTCGATGCGAGCCATGCGTCGGGATGGCTCCACCCGTCATCTCGCCAGGAATGCGGGGGAGGAAATAACGTAACACGAGATGCTCGTCGTCCAAGTCACCGACCAATGTGCCACTCACTCACCATGTCCGCGACTTGGATCATCACAGTCCTACTGTGCACGGAAAGCGTGTAGTGACCAGATACATGGTGACTGTCTTCGCCATCCATGTCTACCGGTCAGCCGCCCATGAGCCGTGAGAGTGTGACCACAACCCCCCCCCCCCCCCTCCCCATCTCTCGTCGTCTTTTGCTTGTCTCGCCATGCCTGCGCCGTTTCCCACGGACCCGCCCGTTGGAGATGAAGGAGAGCCACCAAGAATGCGGAGAAAAAACACAATTGTCGTTTCGACGCAACACTGCGCCGGCCCATTTGACACGAATAGTGGGCCCCATCACCAGATCACTTCTCAGACTTGTAGTCCAAACGAGGCTTAGCAACATCACGCTTCTCCGTGACCTACGCCGCACGACCACTTGGAAAAAAGCAATAATTATCTGACTTAGGAGAGAAAGGCAAGGGATATACATACATGACTGCATGGGGGGTTGGTTGGCTTGAAGGCATCTGGGGTCATTCGGTAAACGGACTTGCTTGTGTGCTTCTTGTCCATGTTGAAAAACGATGGGCCAACATACGCATACCATCTGATTTCAATTGATACAGGGGATCGTCGTGAGCCAATCAAGGGGACTTAATCACACCCGAAATGAGGTGAAGAGGCAGACAAGAGGCGGCCGACACCGTCGAGCAAACCGACAAACACCAACATGCTCGTCGCTATGGCGCGAGCATGCCTGTTGCGCATGTTTGCTGTTGGCGCAGGACGTGTTTGTCTGAGCCCACCGTCCACTCGCCTTCGAATCCAGTACGGTGGTTAGGCAACGGGAACAGAGCGGCCCTTCGCTTGAGGGCTCTCCCGCCTGTGTTCCTCACCATTGGGATTTTCATCATGCCTGGGTTGGCACCACTTGCGCCTTGCTGCATTCAGCACAATTCTCACCGTGACGGTGCGGACGCTCACCTCAGCGCGATACTCGCCGGTTCCTCCAAGGGAAACCATCGAACTGGTGTCCTACAGGTGTCCACCGTCATTAAGACACAACCTCCGACCCTGTTGCTCAAACATGACACGAAGTTGTAATAACGTCAACAGCAAATGTATGAGACTGCTGTGTAGGTATGATTCTCGTGAAGCCGGAGTGAACTCGAGTTCTGAAAGGGGCCGTAAGACGTCTGGCCTTGAGCCGCTTTGCGCCTCTCCGCCGCTTCTTTTCCATATGGTTGACACGGCTGTCCGAACACGGGCTATAGCAGAGGACTTGAATGGACCAGCCTCCCCTGCCACTCCCGTCGCTCTCGCCAGTCGGCCATTTTCTTCGCACAAACTCCTGACGCTGTATCCGTAGTGTAGTTACACTGCAGCTCCAGTATATCGATTGGACCAGGGCATAGATTGGTCAGTCTTCTCGCCAAGGGTTGCAAAAAAATAAACATGCAAAAAGAAATACTCTACTCCGTACCCGTACCCAGTAGAGAGCGAGAGCGTGGGGGACGCTGAGCACGACAGAGGGGTGACTCTAAGACAGCGCCTGCCCAGTTGCTGACATGGGGAGAGCAGAGGCCGCGAACAACGATCGCGCTTACATGGTAGCCAAGATCGAATCAAACCCAGAATGGTGTCTGTGTGTAAATAACGTGCTCTGTGCTTTCCGGAGACCACACCTGATTTGGTCCAAGGCAGAGGATGTTGGTAACGTTGGCGACTCGAGTATTGCAGATTTTTTTGCCTATCCCTCAACGCCTCCAGGGGCTTGCTCCATTGACTCACACTTTGACATCGTTGAGCTGTGGAATTCTGCGTCCCGGACCCTGGAATTTTTCACTTCGTTAGCCGGCAACTCTGCTCATGAGCTCAGGGGTTCTGGGACTTGAATCTTGCCGTGCTCCTTCAGGCTTGGTGAACTCAATCTGCCCGTCCAGCAAAGTACGTGCCGCGCTCCACTAATGATATCGGATGAGATGGAATCTTGCTGTATGGTACAACGGTGCTTCGAGGAGGGACGCATTTTGCTGCAAGGTACGGGGTCTCCGTACTTGGCCAGAGTCGACGCGGCCGCAGTCATGGCAAGCACGCAAGCCCGCAGCTAGATCCAGCGACTTCAGGAAGAACAGCGCGGCTCGACGTCTGATCTAAGCACTGGGGGGGTCTCGCTGGTGCTTCTACAATTACATGCAATGCTGTCACACAACGATCGGCCGACGCCGTGATGGCTTCCAAACGCGCCCGCACTTAGCGAGGCAGCCCTCACTCCTTAGTGGCGCTTTCGTCGTTTACCGGTTGCGCTTCGATAGCCCGATTCCTGCTGAACTGGAGGTACGACGTTTCCGTCATACCAAACAAGGCTAGGCCTGGCGTTGGTAATCAAGCTGTAGTTTTCGACTCGTCCAATAAGCTGCGGGTAACCACTAAGAAGATCTCAGCTTGGGCAGAAAAGAACGGTGTCACGGGGTGACTGTGAGACATTGGGGGTGTTCTGGAGAATTCCAGCGGCACGTAGTTGTCATCATGCTTGACGTATCCGTATCGACGACAATAGGTCTCGATGCCATGCTAGCTCAGGTGACGGCTGGGTAGATTCGCTCAGAGCTCGGTACTTTTCTTGCTTGAGATGTCAGGTATCTGCGCCGTCCTCGAGGACTGCAGTCTGGCAGTCAGACAGTCTGGTTGTCGCACTCGATCCACCTGGCATCGTCGAAAAATCTAACGGGCCGAGTCTTGGGACCACAGCTAGAGATAAGCGGCGGCTCGCATTCATGGGTCAGGAACCCAGGTGAAGTCTTTGCGATAGTCGACCGCTGGAGACAGACAAAGATGGACATGATCCGAACACGCCTTCCTTGACCTCCACCTTATCCCCAGTCCTCCTTTGCGGGCGGAGCAGGGCTAGTCCTTGTTCTCGCACATGGCCCGTGTCAGGAACACGGCAATGCCTTCTTTAGTCTCAACTTTGGAGCTGCGGTGCGGCATCGATGTCAAAACTGGTTCTCGGCATGAGGGATGACGATATGTAGCTATCCTCCATACGGAGTACTCTGTGCTCGATGTCGCAGCTTCATCCGGTGGCCGTCGCAAAGGGTTTGTGAGATGAGGGCTAGTACGGGATATTGTGGGATCATCGGCGTGCATTGAAATAAATGAAGACCCCCATCTGCCCCCCCCCCCCCCCCCATTTCGCCGGATCCGACCGAAATAATGCTCGGAACATGGCTCAATCGAGACTGTCCACTTCTCCAGCATAGAGCAACGGGCCACGGCATCTCCAGGAGGCAAGATATCGGGGCAATAACGCTGTGGGTTCTTCATCGAGTGCTTGCCGCAGGTGTGGGGGTTGTGGTTGATCTGGTTTCCGCGGTTGTTCGTCTTGATCATCCTTGGATTGACCTATCCCATAATCAAGGAGCAGATAAGCGCACCAGTTCACTAACACTGCAATTGGTTGGCTTGAGGCTGGCGCGACTGGTTCCTGCTTCAGCGCATACCAACGGCGTTAGACGGGAGCCAGTGCGAATCCTTTGTCCCAAGCCCTCCATCCCGGCCGCAACTCGATCGAACTCTATTGCTTTCTTCATCTAAGCCAAGTCCGAGGCTCCCGCCTTCAAAGGTTTAAAGTTGCCTGTGGCAGGTTTGGCAGGATCTCATCTTCGTGTTGTTTGCTGCACTTAACGGATGCCGACAAAGCCGATGGTCTCTCATGGTCGCTCTCTCCGAGTGAGTTTCACGCAGTTGCCGCGCCTTGTCAAGGCCACGAGAAGGACTTGGTCGACAGCCGACTCCAAAATCCTGGCGAGGGGCCCTTCTTCGTATGAGCGAAAACTCTCGCCTCCCAGGTGTCTCTTCGCTCGTTCTAGGTTGAGTTGACTTGGCGCTTGTATGCGTCCCACTTGTGGGCGAAGCAGCACTATCTCGTGCGGGCGCAGAGCAGACGTAGCCCACGCCACACGCGTACTGATAAGTCGAGGGCTCGCCTTCACCCTCAGAATCCCACGCCAAATCGCTGAGCCGTCGGGACACGCAAGGTTGGTTGCACTCAACCCCACAACCTCCCGGATATGAGTGGGTTGGTGGTTGGAGAGGCCCAGGAACCTGATGCAGATATCAGCGGGCGGCGGATTAAATGATCATCCTGACAATGTCTCTGAGGAGTGTGCCAGTTCCTGGAAGAAGGGTCTCGGGGAGGTCGAAGCAAGCTGCGTGATTGGCTGTGTGCATAAAGAGATGGCTTATCTGAAGGGTGCCGCTACGTTGAAACCAAGCTAATAGGAGTCATGGGGTTCTTGTCTCTCTGCTATTGCCAGAGACAATAATTTCGTGATCGCAATCGCCGTTGCTATTTGGATCATCGCTTTAATAAGATACCCGCGGCAGCCTTGTCGAAAGAGCGGCCGGCACTCGAAGGACGATCACGGCGACAATCGCAAAGATGGCGGGATGGATCGTCCTGTTCGTCGGCCTTGATTGGCTTTCGGTGTTGAAGGTTGTTGTTGAACGACCCAAAGCTTCGCCTCTCCCACTGGGTTGCTAGTGTAGGTGGTCCGTACATCCAGTCGCTCCGGAACTGAATGCTCGTGAGGCTGCTGAGGTGGTCTCTTTGACAGCCGCGGGCGATCGTAAGACGTCAGTCCCCCCAAAGTGACGAAGGCGACGAACTCGTCTGATCCATAGGGGAACCAGCTCCAGGGTTAGGTCCTGCAACAATCCGTGATGCAGAAGCTGCATAAAGGACCGCAGAATGCATGTTTGGGCGAAGGCGTCAGTACGGGTGGTCAGGTGGGCAACCTGGACGGCCTACTATGCCATCGGTCGACTCTGAGGTATGGTGTTGGTGTGGGGAGGCATGTTGTGACGCTGATTTGTTCAACGTTGTGAGCCTGTTTCTCCTCCCCCGCCTCAGAACGTACGCGGGTGGCGGCCAAACTGGTTTAGCCGCTCTTGGCCCGCTGCAAATTCCAACTGCATGGATGGACGACCACGACGGAGATATCGACGGCGAATGGCGGCTGCAGATGATAGGAGCTTTAGAGAGACAGTTGATGTGACGAGCTTCCGTCCTTATGTCACCACCATTGAATCTCCACGCACCCGTCGTCACGGATAGTGTCATAGTGCACCACACAGCAAGATCGTGACACTGCAGCCTCCAGACTTCTCTCTCCGGGACTCCTCCTGCCGTACCGTCGGCCTAGGGTGGGGACATCGGGATTGCTGAAGCACAAGATCTCCGATATCCCTGACAGAAGGGCTCCATAGTTATTGCTTGAGGAAGAGAGTGCATCATGGGGGCGTACTCGGACTTTTGCAATAGCTTGGGATTGCTCCCATGCTGCACTAGTGTAGTTCTTTGGTCCGCATGAGCTAGGAAGACAGCATGTTTCGCAGTGTCTGTAACGCAGATGAATGGGCTAGGGAAACAGACGATGATGGCAGTACGCAGACCAGCCGATCGAGGGTGACATAGCTTTCGGGGTGTTGTGATGCCACAGTACGGATATCATTTCGTATTTGCTGGGAGTTTGAGTACATAGGGACGGACTTGGAGTCGTCCGTTGCGAAATAACGTTTGGTTGTCATGCCAGGTTCACCTAGGTAGAGGCGGTCATGAGGATTGTGTCGAAACTCTCGAAACCAGGACACAGCCCTCTTGTTGACAACGAAAGCCGACAACGGCACGACGGGTATCTCGCAATACTACTAGAGCGCAACGAAATCTCAATCGCGTGCTGGGATGGATGGATAACGATGGTGAACCCCAGGTTTTCGCTCTGACGCCACCCCACGACAGGATGGTGTTGAAATTGGCGTTGGATCTGCACAATTTGGCTGGCGGCCAATGAGGACCACGACGGCTTTCACTGGTCTCTGTGTCTCTGTCCCTCCCCCTACCCTCGCGGCTTCGCCCACTTGCTGCAGCAGGGTCGATCAGTTGCCATTGTCGTTACGTGGATGTGGTGGGGTAGGAGAGGGAAGTCGTCTTGAGACAGAACTGGCAACACGAAAAGAGGCCGCTGCAGAAGCAGAGACAGACGAGAACGTCAAGTTGCTTGGTTGGTTGGTTGCACCAGCATCCATCATTTGTCTGAATTTGAAGGGACCATTCGTGCCAGACTGCCAATGTTGAGTTTGCCGTCCCCACCGGCTACCGCCATCGTAGTATTCAATGGCAGTCTATCTTGGCCCGGCGTGTGGTGTGTTGCCATCGCCGTTGGCCTCTCTTTGCTGCCGCTCTGCCGCTTGAGGAAAGTTCTCCAGTCTCTAGAGAGTCACAGAGTGAAGTGGAGTATGGAGAAGGGGACGGCCGCTGTCGCTATTTTTGCGGATACCAACCCCCCACGCGGTTCCATGCCTCATATCATTCGACAACGGGCTGATTTGATTTCTCATGATCTTGGGCTGACACCCGTTGCGTCCATGTGTTTTTAGAGGACATGATACTAGCGACGACGAAAATTGTGAGGAAGCTGATGGTGACAGGCACGGAGGATGTAGGAATTCGAAGAATGTTGGGGTACCGATAGGGAGATTGAGGTTGAAGAGTTTTTTTTCTTTCTTTCTTCATCTACTGGCTCCTCCTAGTCCGGGCTCGCCCAGGCGAGTAGGGAACAACCGCGATCTAGACTGGTCCAGCCAGCTTCCGGGGCGTACTGCTTGTGTAGAGTGGCGTTGAACGGGAACGAGCTCTGGATGTGCTGCTTTGAGGCCGACTGTGTAAGTTGTGGTCCACTCGCAGATGCACTTCTGATTAACCACCCAATTCAACATATTCTTCTCTTGAGTCGTCCGAGGGTGGCCAGAATCCTATGCAGGGTAAGGAGTGCGGAGCACGAATACTGGCGAAGTTGGTACGGGTGGTGGTGATGTGCTGCTCAATGCTGCTGCTGCTGCTGCTACCAATGTCTCTGGCGGCAGTAAGCAAGACAGGAAGAAAGGACGATAGTGCAGCTCTGGATCTGACCAAACACCAGACTGCTCCTTGAAAGAGGCCGGGGTCGAGCTGTGCTAGCATCAATTGGGAGGGCGTGGGTGTCGATCATGGGTTTGAACCTGGGCAAGGAAAAGACGGAGAAAGTGGATCAGTTTTCTTGGTGGGAGTTGGGAGTACAGCACTATGGGCGTGAAGGAACGACCGGAGACAAGCTTGGACCAATTGCACCCTCATCCACTAGACCGAAACAATGCTAGCGCATGCTGAGCTCTTGGTATCCACCCAGACTATTCTCACTGGCTCAGAACGAGCAGCTTCGGTTCAGCGTCTGCAGCAGCCATCTGTACTCATGCCTGAGGTAGTCTTTCATTGCACAATCTGCTGCATCACTGTCATAAGCGGGCAGACCCGTACCTGGCGATGCCGCGATACAAGGGAAAGAGGTACATATATTGGCTGCCTTCTTGCTGTCCACGCCATTTGCATCCACTCTGAGCTGCTGCCCACTCAGCTAGATGGATACCTAAGTGCTACAGAGTAGGCGTACCTTAGGTGGACTGCGGCCTGCCTTGGGTTGCTGC